AAGTGAAATGAAAGGACAACTAGACAGTAACAAATCCACATGAAATCCACATGAAGAAATAATACCAATAAACATAGTTAAATAAAATATAAGTATATTTTGCTTGTAGCTCTTTCTTTTCTTATTTAAAAGACAACTGCATAAAGTAATAATTATAAAATTGTGTTGATGGAATTACAATATATAAAAGGTGTAATTTGTATGACAATAGTAGGAGGGAGAAGGGAATGGAGCTATGTTCCATAAATCACATCATAAGTAAAATGGCAAAGGTTAAAGACAAAAAGAGAATCTTAAAGGCAGCAAAAGACAGGTAGTTAGTTATCTAAAAGGAGTTCCCATAAAGCTGTTAGCTGATTTCTCATCAGAAACATTACAGGCTAGAATGGAATAGCATGAAGTATTCAAAGGATTCAAAGAAGGAAAAGCAAGGATCTGAATCCAAGATACTCTATCCAGCAAGGCTATTATTTAAAATTGAAGGGGAAATAAAGAGCATCCCAGAAAAGCAAAAAGACTAAAGGAGTTCATTACAACCAAACCTGCATTGTCAGAAATGTTAAAGGCACTGCTGTAAGAAGAAACAGAGAGAGAAACACAGGCATAAAGTATAAAAATAGCAATATATAAGTACCTATTAATAAAACCCTTAAAGGTAAGTAAATTGATTAACTGCTCCCATCAAAAGACATAGGGTATCTGAGTATATAACAAAACATAACCAATATATATGCTGCCTACAAGAGACCCACCTCAGAACAGAAGATTCACACAGGCTCAAATGAAGTGATGAAAAAAATATTCCATGCAAATGGGAACAGACAAAAAAATCCCTGGGGTAGCAATACTTATATCTGACAAAATAGACTTCAAAACAAAGGCCATAACAAGACACAAAAAGGGTCACTACATAATACTAAAGGGATTGATCCAACAGGAGGATATAACCCTGATAAACATATGAAGTCTGCCCAGAAAAATCTAGCTACTGTTAATATAACCAGAATGATTTGCACAACATTGATGTAACCTGACAGCCAAGGACAGTGGACTGGAATGCGTAAGTGTGAACAATGACAAATCCACTGTGCCAGTCAGTGGGGACAGTTGATGCCATTGAGTGGGCATGTGGCCATCGCATTCAAAATGAGCAATTAGAGCAACAAATCCACATCAAATTTTGTGTTAAGCTTGAACATTACTCCATGGAAACTATTTGGATGACTTAGAAGGATGCAGCTATGGGCAACTGGTGATTGGCAGCTTCATCACAACAATGCGCCCTCCCATCCATCGTGTCTTGTGCAGAGGTTTTTGGTGAAATATCAATCGCCCAGGTGACTCAGCCCCTCTACAGCCCAGATTTGGCACCCTGCAACTAGCTTTTCCCAAAATTAAAATCACATTTGAAAGGGAAGAGATTTCAGACCATCACAGAGATTCAGGAAAATAAGATGGGGCAGCTGATGACCATTGGGAGAATTGCGTGAGGTCCCAAGGTGCCTACTTTGAAGGAGATTGAGGTGTCACTATCTTATGTACAAGGTTTCTTTTATCTTGTATCTTCTTCAATAAATGTCTCTATTTTTCATATTACATGGCTGGATACCTTCTAGACAGACCTCATATATTCACCCAATATTGGAGTACCTAAATATATTAAAAAAACAACTCTTGGTGGATTTTGGAAAAGAGATTGACAGAAATAAAATCATAGTAGGCACTTTAACACCCCATTAACATCAATAGATAGATCTTCCAGACCAAAAAAGTGAACAAGAAAGCAGTGACCTTACATGACACACTAGATCAGATGAATTTAATTGATACTTACAAAACATTTTATCCCAAAGCAGCAGAATATACATTCTTCTCAAGTGCACATGGAACATTTTCAAAGACAGACCATGTATTAGGACACAAAATAAGTCTTAACAAATTCAAGAAGACTGAAATAATATCATCTTCTTGGATCACAATGGCATGAAAGTAGAAATAAAAAAACCCCTCAAAAACATTCAAACACATGGAGGCTAGTAAATACATGTTATTAAACAATGAATGGGTTACTAATGAGATCAAAGAAGAAGTAAAAAAAACTACCTGGAAACAGATGAAAATGAACACATAACAACCCAAAAGTGAAAAGCAGTCCTGAGAGGGAAGTTCACAGCATTATAGGCCTACCTCAAGAAGCAAGAAAAATTGCAAATAAACAATTTAACCCTATACCTAAAAGTATTTGGAAAAACAGAAAGGAAAGCACAAATTAGGTAGAAGGAAGAAAATAAAAAATATCACAATAGAAGTAAATGATATAGAGGCTAAAAAGCAATACAAAAGAGCAAGGAAACCAAGAGATGGTTCTTTGGAAAGATAAGCAATTGATGAACCTTTAGTCAGACTCAACAAGAAACAAAAAGACAGGACCCAAATAAATATAATCAGAAATTAAAGAAGTGAAGTAACAATGGACATCACAGAAATACAAAGGATTGTAAGAAAATACCATGAACAACTAATTATATGCCAACAAATTAGACTACCTGGGTAAAATAGACAGATTCCTAGAAACATACAATCTTCCAAAACTCAATCAGGAAGAATCAGAAAACCTGAATAGACTGATAACAACAAATGAAATTGAAACAGTAATCAAGAAACTGCCAGGAAACAAAAATCCTGGTGAATTTTACGATTCAGAAAAGAACTGACACCTATCCTCCTCACACTATTCCAAAAAGATTCACGAAGAGGGAAGGCTTCCAAGCTCTTTTTTACTAGTCCAGCATTATCCTAATTCCAAAACCAGATAAAGACACTACAAAGACAGAAAATTATAGGTCAATATCCCTGATGAACATACATGCTAAGATCCTCAACAAAATATTAGCAAATCAGACCCAGAAATACATTAAAAAGACTATACACCATGACCAAGTGGGATTTATTCTGGGGGTGCAAGGTTGGTATAATATTTGCAAATTAATAAATGTGATACATCACATAAACAAATTAAAGGATAAAAATCACATGTTCTTATCAATAGATGCAGAAAAAGCATTCGATAAAATCCAGCACCCAATTATGATAAAAAAACTCTCAACACATTAAAGGCCATATATGAGAAACCCACAGCCAACATTTTACTCAATGGGCAAAAACTACAAGCATTTCCCTTAAGATCAGGAACAAGGGATGTCCACTCTTATTCAACATAGCACTGAAAGTCTTAGTCACAGTGACTAGACAAGAAGATGAAATAAAAGACATCCAAATTGGAAATGAGGAAGTAAAACTATCATGATTCTCAGATGATATGATAATGTACATAGAAAACCCTAAAGATTCCACCAAAAAACTACCAGATTTAATAGATGAATTCAGCAAAGTAGCAGGATACAAAATTAATATACAGAAATTGGTGGCACTTTTATATACCAATAATGAAGTTCCAAAAAGAGAAACTAAGAAAACAATTCCATTTACCATTGCAATAAAAAAAAGTACCTGGGAATAAATTTAATCAAGAAGGTGAAAGATCTAAACTTGGGAAATTATAGAACACTAAAGAAAGAAACAGAAGAAGACACAAAAAAGTGGAAGTGTGTTATATGTTCATGAATTGGAAGAATTAACATCATTAAAATGTCCATGCTACTATAGGGGACCGGTCCACGTGGGAATGGTGAATGTAGCTCAGCCCCAGTTTGGGAAACTGACAGGTGTGAGGCAGCACAGAGGAGCCAGGCCCACAGACTGTCTTTCCCATCAGGAATCATGCCTGCATTATATCTAGACTGTTTTGAGGCTTGCTTTTGCTAAAACTCCCTTACCCTGAGTTAAGGCAGTGAATATTTAATGCATATCTCTGAAGTAACTTCCTAAAGTCTGTGCTAAACCTCCCAAGGACAGAGTGTAACCAGTTCAACCACTTTTTCCCTTACATTTGCAACATCCTTTTCTTTGTTATCTGTAAAAGGTAATCACCTAAAGCAAACCTATGCATAATGAATGAGGACCTTCCCTGATGTAATGCTCCCAGAAAAGCAATAAAAGCCTGTCCAGGCAAGGGTTGGGGCACTCTCTAACTCAGAGAGTGGCCATGCCATCCCCTTTTCTCCACAGTACTTCTGCAGTCCATGTGAATTTGTTCGTAGCATCCACAACACTGCAGATGCTGCTGGTTGGAGTCCGCATCATACTACCCAAAGCAATCTATAGATTCAACACAATTACTATTAAATGGCATATTTCACATACAGGGTCCAGTAGAATTAACTCACCTTATTTAGGAGCGTTTATTATTTTTATTACAAAATCATAAGCATGTAATTCTATAACAACATTTGTACATAGAACAAATACTCTAAAAATGTATATGGAACCAGTCGAGATTTGGAATAGCCTCAGTAGTCTTGAGAAGGAAGAACAGTGTTGGAGGGATCACAATACCTGATATCAAACTATACTACAAGGCCACTGTAATCAAAATAGTCTGGTACTAGCATCAGACAGGGAAATAGATCAATGTCATCTATTAAGCTTGATCACTTCTTAATGGGTAAGAAAGAGGAAATTACTGAGAGTGATTTCTGCAGAAAGGGAATAATCCCTATGAATAAAGAGTGTGAGTGTGTATACACATATATTTTTCTCAAAATTTCCTAAGTGAAATTTTCCAATTGAAAAATATACTACTTCACTACCCTATAAATAACTGAAATTTCCTGGGAACAATATAAATGTAACATTATAAGTAAATTTCCCAGATTGCCTATCATATCTAAAGGTAGCCCTGATATTTTTGAAAGATCTTGAAATTTGGTTCAATATATATAGTGAATCTTCCTATAGATTATAGCCTTTATTCACAAATCAAACAATTTGATTCAGTTTCCAGAAGGGGTGTGGGTAAGGTAGAGAAGTCACAAGACTTCAGGAAAAGATATGTCCTCAAACCAACACAGCAGATCATAAACAAAGGAATTCAAACTTACCAGAGGTCCAACTGAAGAAAGCACAGCAGCCATTATATTCTCCTCCTTGTTCCCCTCCCTAGGAGGAGTGGAGTTCTACAAAGACATCTGAGAAAGAGAAATAAGCCATGAAAACCAATCCTGGCTTGGTAATCTCAGACTCACCAAGTTGGAATCCCAACATGCAAGTAAGTATGACTTCCAAAGAATATAAGAGTAACCCCCAAAATCAGGGAGAAAAAAAGATTCTTGCTCCTGGAAATCTTGAGATTTTTAATACAATTAATTATACTAACAGCCAGAAGGCCAGACATTGTAAAAGGAGCTTTAAAAATACTTTCTCATTTGATCCTCACATCAACCCCATGGGAATTACATAAATAGATGAGGAAGCTGAGGCTTAGAAAAATTAATCTATTTATCCAATACCACCATGACTCCAACTCAGTCTAAGTCCAATGCCCAGACCTTGTCCACTAAATCAGCTTGTTGTGAAATGAAAAGTTAACGTGCAGAGCCCTTTTTAAAAGGGAGACAGAGCAGCCATTCCAAAAAGCTACCTTGGCACCTCTTGCTCCTTGAACCTTCAGAATATTTGCACTGGGTAAAATAACCTTCAGACTGGGCCACAGCAACATTTACAAACAATTGTTTGTAAAACCAACAGGAAAAGCAGACATCCTTACCACAAAGACTGATGATTATGGAGTCTCTTTTTAAAGACAGAATCTGTAACCAGCCATGCGGAGCTGAAGAGCAACTCAGCAGTTCCATGGTCCTCAGATGGAGACTTTGCTATGCTTAATTAACATGCTGAATCTGCTCCTGCCCTGAATGGGCACCTTACTTCCCATAAGATACAGTATAGAGATTTTGCTCAATAAACATAGCAGATTTTAATCTAATTTTACAGTTTGTGTCAATCAGCAGCTCATCTGAAATGATACTATTTACTATCTTCTGAAAACAAGAGTTATAATAAATGAAGCAAGGCTATTATAAATTCGAAGAACATCAGTGATACAGAATTTAAATAGATATGAGTATATTGAAACTTATACTCAAAAGTTATTTTCAAGCATTCATGGAGCATTGATTAAGTTAATCATTTACCACAGACCAAAGAAAATATCAATAGAAAAGAAGAAATTGAATACACTACATTCTCTGACCATGATGTGGTAGAATTACAAATGTAAATGGAAGTCTGAAGGGCAGGGGGAAAACCTATCACCTGGAATTAAAAAAACTCTCCTGAGTAGCTAGTAAGTCAAAGAGAGGACTTTAAAATATAATTGCCAATAAATTAGAAAATAAGAATATTATAGATTTAAAATTCATGGGTTGTTGTCAGGGTTTTAAAGAGAATAAATTTATAACCCTAAATACTTTCAAGTAAAATTTTTAAAAATAATGAAAATATTAAACATTTGACTGAAGAAAAATAATTAACAAGCCATAAGGAAGAAATAATAAAGGAAGAAACTAATGCTAAGAAAACAAATCAAAACAGCTGTCAAAGGCAGTAGCTGATTCTCTAAATAATGAAATATACACAGCAGAGAACAACAAAAAGAAAAAATACCAATAGTTTATAAGATGGAAATAAGAAAGGGGCTTTAACAGGTAAAACATCTTAAGACTGTATAGCAAAAAAAATAAAATTTCCCAAAGAACAATTTTTGTTTAAAATTTTTCCAAAACTGAGTCAAAGAGCAGAAAACTCAAGTAAGCCAATGTAGCAGAGACTGCTTGTTGTCTTCCAACCTCTAGTTTTCCCTTCTACTTGACAGAAGTTTGAAGTCTCAGCTGGCCACAGGGTCACCAGCCACAGATATTTCCCAGCCTACTAGCAGGCAGGTGTGCCATGTCACTAAATTTCAGCAAAGGGGATCGGAAATAAAAGAGATGGTATGCAACTTCCAGGTCATATCTTTAAAAGGGGGATGCTTGCCCTCTAGTTCTCAGTCTCCCTTTTCAGTGGCCTGAAATAGACAGTGTAAGAGTGATCCAGCTTTCACCATAGGGAAGACAACACCCCTAAAGTGTGGTACAGTAAAAAGATGGACCAAACTTGGGTTTCTAGATGATCTAATGTACCAGAGCTGCCTACTCCTACCCACCCTCAATGCTACCAGCCACCTACCAACTCAGACTTTTATATGAGAAAGAAATAAATAGCCTTTCTTGTCCAAAGCAGTTGGACTCTGTTAAAGCTGCAAAATTAAATTCCTAACTAATAGAGTGAATGATCATAAAAGAAAAATTTAAAAGTACTAGGTAAGCAGGACAGACAGAGCAGGACTAAATTAAATCAAGAAAAAATGTGACTATCTTAAGAATGTAGGCTTCTGGTCAAGATGGAGGACTAGGTAGATACACCTTACATCATTGCACACACATAAGAAGGAACACAACTAACTTAAAAATGAAAAACACCCAGAACTGCCAGGAAATCACCCAGAAAAATACCCAGAACTGTACAGAAGTCTGACAACCAAGGATTTAAAGCTATATTCATCCAGACGGGTATGGGGTGGACATAGGGAGTTGGGGTGGAGAGGACTTCATGTGGCAGCAGCAGCCATTGTATCAGGCAGCCCCACAACCATGCCTGGTGGATAAAACAGGAGGACACCTTGTGAGCTAGTGAGCCTACCCCCAGGCTAGAGTGCAGCCCAGGGCTCCAGTGCCGGAAAAATAAAGCTGCATAACTTCTGGCTATAAACCCAGTGGGGTTTGGGGCAGTGGAATAAACTACTAGTACATATGCAAATCCACCCACCTTGGAACCACAACCAGGATAGCAGCTGGAGTGGCACCAGTCACATATGGGAAGTGGGTGAAGTGACTGGAAGCAGAGTGAAGGCCAGGCAATCCCCCAGAAGTCAGGCAGCGGAGGCACTGTCCCCTCTTTGACCCTTTTCTGACACACGGAGCCATGATTGCCCATTCCTGGTGAATATCCAACGCTCTGCCCCATATGACTTAACAGGTTTGCTAAAACAGAATCGAAGTGGCTCTACCTAGTACACAAACACAGACAGGCTGCCAAAACCAGGAGACAAAGAAATATGGCCCAAATGAAGGAACAGAACACCAGAAAAAGAACTAAGCAATGTGGATATAGCCAACCTATCAGATGCAGAGTTCAAAACACTGGTGGTCAGAATGCTCAAAAATCTCATCGAATGTGGCAAAAGCAAAAAACAAATAAAGGATCTACTAAAGGAAATTAAAAAAATCCATAGGAAACCAACAGCGAAGGGAAGGATGCCAGGATTCAAATCAATGATTTGGAACATAAGGGAGAAACAGGCATTCAACCAGAACAAAACAAAGAAACAAGGATTCAAAAAAAAATGAGGAGGGTTTAAGAAGACTCTGGGGCATCTCCAAAAGGGCCAACATCCAAATCATAGGGATGCCAGAAGGAAAAGAGGAAGAGCAAGAAATTGAAACCTTATTTGAAAAAATAATGAAAGACAACTTCCCTAATTTGGCAAAGGAAATAAGATACAAGTCCATGAAGCACACAGAATCCCAAGCAAATTAGACCCAAAGAGGTCCATACCAAGACATATCATAATTGAAATGGAAAAGGTTAAAGAGAAAATCTTAAAAGCAGCAAGAGAAAGGCAGAGAGTTAACTACAAATGAATTTCCATAAGATTATCAGCTGATTTCTCAAAAGAAACTTTGCAGGCAAGACAGGATTGGCAAGAACTATACAAAGTGATGAAAAGCAAGGATCTGCGACCAAGATTACTCTATCCAGAAAAGCTACCATTTAGAATTGAAGGACAGATAAAGTGCTTCCGCACACATGGTAAAGCTAAAGGAGATCATCATCATTAAGCCCTTATATGGAATGTTAAAGGGACTTATCTAAGAAAAAGATCAAAACTATGAACATTAAAATGACAACAAACTCACAACCATCAACAACTGAATCTAAAAAAACAAAACCAAAACAAACTAAGCAAACAACTAGAACAGGAATAGAATGATAGGTATGGAGATCATTTGGAGGGTTATCAGCTGGGGGGGGGAGGGGAAGAATGAGGGAAAAGCTATAGGAATTTAGAAGCATAATTGGGCAGGTGCAGCATAGACAGGGGGATGTTAAGAACAGTACAGGGTGGGGGACGGTGAAGGCTGGCGTCATAGCCAAGGTTGAGTTTTTAACAAAGCTGCACTTGACTGCTTGCAATCTGCAAGGTGGATCAAGCCAGCAGCCAATGACAGCCCGAATCCAGAGGAGTTGAACAGGAGATAGATAACTGCAAGCTTCAGCTGTATGCACTGTAACTTTTGCAGAAGACATATGTATTGGTTAGATAGCCTGGGAATGGAACAATCTGTGCCTACAGTATCTGCCTGGGTTTGCAGAACATCCTTGAGCTTTATCTAACCAACCCCTATAAAATAAACACGAAACCATGTTCAGGGTTTATTGTCTCTCCATCAAAGGACAATGTCCCACCTGGTCCCCACTTTTCCTTAAACTATCTGTGTTGTGTCTTTCTTCATCTCCCATCTACTCCACTAAGGTACCCCCATTCCATGCTGGTCACAGCAGGTGGTACCCAATGTGGGGCACTGAGTACAGGAGAATTCAGCAGCCCAGGTAAGGAGATGCTCCTGAGTGTGGCTGCAAGTCTTGAAGTGAGGTGACAGTGATTAGAGTTTTCACCAGGTGTAAAACATGAGGTGTGCAGGATCCACTGAGAGGTGGCTTTATGTGCAAATGCTTAAACCTATGCTTATAGTAAGGGGAACTAGAGTGCGTAGTACTCCATTAGAGCAATTCTTGGACTTTGTTCAGCAGACCTGCCCTTGGTTTCCAGATAAGGGAACTGTTAATAAAGTTACATGGGTAAGGGTAGGTGAAAAATTGTAGAATGGGTATACTGCTGAGGGGCCAGCACAAATGCCCAGTTTTACTTTCACTTTTGTGGGCTCCCATTCATGATGTGTTCAATCTGTAGAAGGAGGAACTGAAAGTAAAGAAATCAGTAGCAGATACTTTGGCCTCAACAACGGAAGGGTACACCTCCCTCCTGCCAAAACCAACAACGGCTATGCCAGCACCCCTGGTCAAGCGTGATGATGAACCTTTTCCACCAGATTATGCTAGGGAGCTCAAGGAGGAAGCTCAGAAGACAGAGAGAGAGAAAGATAATTCTGAGGAGGAAAATAATGATTTTCCAGACCCTGAAAATTCCCACATGCAGGGACTGGTGTGCCAACTATCAGTGCTGTGCGTGAAGGACAAGCGCCTCCTTGAGGCTGCTGTCAGGCCACCCCCTACGGGGCTCGGCACCTGACCTAAAAGGCCAAGGAAGAAGACTAGGTCTGAGGTTCCTATTTGGGCTATGCCATTTCAGCCTTTAAAAGTTACTCACTGTACTGGTTAATGTGAGATAATGTCTCTGATATTTGAGCTTTGCACCATTTACATCTTGTCAGGGCATTTGTAGCACCAGGTGGTCTAAAGTAAAATTCTAAAGCTAGTGTCTCACTCCCTCCTCTTAGAGGATTTAATTTGAAAATACTGGTTTGCTTGAATTTTGTCTTTGCTTCAGGTTTTGTTTTTGTTTCTGTTTTAACAGGAACAGCTCAGTCTCAATCTCAAATGTTTTGTTAAACCTCTAGTAAATGGAATGAGATCTCTAATGTTATTATATTAGAGATGTTTAAATTCTCAGAAAGAATTTAAATTGATTGTTAAAAGAGGAAAAAAGATATTGTTTCCCTCTCAGACAGTAAAAACCTCAGAAAGAAAAACAATGAGAAAATGTGTCTTTTAACCACTGTAAATTCTCCTTCTAGAGGCCCAGAAACTGCTTTGGTCCTGGGAACAAGCCCTGCCAAGCTTAGTATCCCCCCTCCCTCTTCTCCAGCCTCCCTAAAATGTCAAGGGCACTAGATAATGAGACAGCTCACTTTTAAGCACACTCAAGGAATGCAGTCATCACCAAGAATAGGGGAAAAAATGTAATTGTATATGCCAGTAGGAAAAAAACTGTTTCTGAAAGTTATGAAATGTATTCATAAATTTGTCAATCTAAAGCATGCTAATTACTTTTGATTGTCACTAAAAGTTAAGAATTTTATTTAAATTAGGAAAAATATATGATTTTAATAATGAAGGGTATAAATTATGGCATTTTATCTTAAAAATAGAATTAAATGTGGGTTATTCTAAAGTTGGTTATGTTTGAATAAGTTAAAAGGGCAAACTAAATAGGGCTAGAAGAGCTGAAAAAGGATTGTGTAAGTCAGAGGGTCTGTGTAAGTCAAGATAGTCTGTGCAAGCTAGAGGAGGATTGTATAAGGGAAAAAGAAAAAAGAAAGAATCAAGAAAGTGATAGAAAAGAAAGAAGGAGTTAAAAGAAAAAAAATTACTTTAAAAAAAAGCCTCCTGCTGGCTTCAAACTGGACAAGTCAGCTCTGCTGGGCTTCCTGGCTGCAGCAGGTTGAGGGGGAATTGGTTTTGCTTTTCTCCCTTCCTGAGATGCAATATTCACAGCTGCCCAGCCTTCAGCCCAGTTCCTCAGTTTGCTGCCAGATCCCAGTGCCCTTCTGCACCCACCCAAGGCCTTCAGGCCACCAGTCGCGCTGTCCTTGAGGTACACCAGTAAGGGGCAATTCACACACCACCTTCTCGCTCTTTGCTGTCCTAGATGCTAGGGACTCCCCAGTTCCCTTCACTGAGTTAAGTCTTTCTGCGGATTGCTGATTCCGTGAGCCCTGTGGTTCTCCTCTTGGGGTGGCTCAGGGCGGAGGGACGGGGACGGGATGGGACACGTCTCTGCCTTCCTCTTAGAGAGCCAGTTGGCCCTGCAGGTCAGTGCTGCCTCTGGCGGCTGCTGCGGATGCAGGTATGCACCTCCTCTGCTTCTGGTGCGCTCCACATGGGGCCTATGGGTGTGGCGGGATGGGCAGCTGCTGGTCCTGCAGGTTCGTGTGCATGCTCTCCTTGGGGCTTCAGGTGTGAGTGCAGGGCCTTCTGTGCCACATCGGGAGTGCCACACATCTGGGCAGGGTTATGGGCGCAGAGGCTGGTGGGGGACTGCTGCAGAATTCCCCAAACAGCAGCCGACTATCTCTTTTTTTACTTTTTCCCTTTGAAAAATTCCTCCTGCTCAAGCCTGCTGCTCCATACAAGGGCCTGGCCTCTCACACAGGCCAATTCCCCAACCAGACTGGGGACTATCTGGGTCAGGGTCTGTCACTGCTCCACTTTCCCCAGCTGGTGTCCACAGTCTCAGTGGCTTCACACAGCCCCTGTGTGTTTACCACTTCGCCCTTATTGTAGCCCCCCCGCAACTTTAAGCAACCACGTCTCTCCTGGTGCTGCTCAAACCTTGTTTGGCAGGGGAGGGAGCCACTGACCCGGCTCTCTCCCACAAACCGTGCAGCAGACCTGGAGGGCGCAGGTCCTGGGGCTGCAGCTGCCCTGGTCCCTGAGCTGGACCCAGGGACCTTATTGTCCTGAAGCATTCAACCTTGGCTATAATGCCAGCCTTCACCGTCCCCCACAGTACAGGAAATGGAGAAGCCAAAGAACTTACATGCACAACTCATGGACAAGAATTAAGGTGGGGGGGCTCCCTGGAGGAAAGGGCGGAACTGGGCAAAGGGGAGAAAAGAGGGGAAAAATGGGACAACTGTAGTAGCATAATCAATAAAATATACTTTATAAAAAAAGTATGTAGAGTAGTTTATCCCATGACACTAGGGGGTTTCACTAGACACAATAAAGATTTTGATGGAACAGAAACAATAAGTTGAGGGAGGAAAAAACAGTGTAGTGTGGAGGTTAAGACATGAATAAAGGAAGAATAATCTGGGAGGATTCCTATATTGAAGCCTCAAGGTTACCAATAAAAGAGGTTTTTCTTTATACCAGTGTTTCTCTACCTTTTTTCAGGTAATGGATTCCTTTACAGATCTAATGAAAATTATGAATCTCCTCCCAGAAAACTCTCACATATAACTAGAAGGGTCTCAAATCTCAGGACTGAAAAGCTCATAAGCCATGATTATTAAAAAGGAAATTATTTGGCTCCACCCAAGACCTAAACCAGGATCTCTACTATAGGTGTGAGGCACAGAAATCTACATTTTCAAAGTGTATTGAGAAATACCATTCTATTGACAACTCTTCAATCCCAAATTAAAGACTTTTTTTACAAACTTGAAAATTCAATTGAAATGTTTTACCAGGAGGGTTCTTGAGTCTAGGCAAAGCTATGGCACTGCATTAGTGCCCTCTGGTGAATTTCTGCTTCATGCTTGGTATTTCCTGAAACATTCTTCATCTCACAGTGCAGAAGCTATACTTGTGCCATGTTTAAACACAATTTAAAGCAATAATTGAAGCTGTTCTAACAAATATTAACAATGACTACATATTAACAACAGTAGATCTTAACTTTGGGGAGATCCATCTGAGATTTTGACCTTGTCCACAGAATAATGCACGTGAATGTATGATGTTGCATATTATTTTGAGGAGTCTGACCTTTCCAAACCCATACACTGACCTCAAATTAGGAAGTCCAGTTTTACAAGGTTGAAAAGAAAAAAATGGCTAAAGAAAAAATAAGTGAAAACTAATTTTTTCCAAAACGCAAAAGCAGACCTACAAAGAGTGACTTAAGACATTTTCGCATCTTTAAAACTTAGTAAGACTGGTCTGAGTCATCATTTCTTTTTAAATTTGTAAAGATTAATAAATTCCTCGGCAATATGCTCTGTAGATAATACTAGTCTGTTTAACAACCAAACTGTACAATAAACATATTTTTAATTTTATAATCAAAATAAATAATGCTATTTAAAATTTAATATATTTTTTGATCTCCATTGTGTAAAATAATGCACAGAGAAAAAGACGGCAAATCAGTAAGCCAAAACTACTGATACCTCTGTGTCCTGAGTCAGTGATGTTTACCCGTATTTCTGTTTTTCCATACTCTCCAAGTAGACAATAAAAAGTGCTTATATATACATAGGAATTTTGTATTGGAGTTAAATTCCAGAGTAGCTGTTCACACTCCCAGCTCCTAATGTTAGCTTTACTACTGTGGAATTGTGACTATAAGCAAGTAATTTAAGCACAATGAATCAAACATTAGCAAATGAGGCTAACCACATTGTATGTTTCTACCTTTGCCTTTGACATTATGCAGAAGATATCCAGAGAGATATCATAATTTCCTAGACATTTTTTTCTGGATGTTGTGACTTTATCCAAGCCCTGTCTTCCCAACCACTGCAGAAGTACCAAAGACTTAAGGAGAAACTTCACTTGCTGTGGTTCCTAAGCCAGTGCAGTTATTTAAAAAATAATGAGAATGTCAGCGCCAAGGCCCAGACAAACATTTCCCAACCAAAGCAATAATATTGTCCTGTCAGGGAGAGAGGAGCGACTTCAAAGTGATTATCTGAAATCCCATAAAATAGGCCGTCAAGGAAAAGCTGTCTGGGCTACCCAAAGACGGGAGAACGCCCTCTTGTTCAGTCACCAGAAGGGAAGCCCAATTCCAGCCCTACGGGAACGAAAGCCCAGACTGGGGACAGTCCCTCCGCCAGCTCCGCTCTTTCCCTGACTGCCCTCCTCTGCCCAGTAGGGGGACTGTAAAGAGCGGGAAGGTCAGACTGAGCCCCCAGCACCAGCTCTGTGCCCGGTTCTCCCTAACCTAGCGTGGCCAAGCCCGCTATGGAGGGCACCGATCGCCTCCCGAAGGAAGCCGAGGGGAGACCGAGGCGGAAAGCCCAGTCGGCCTGTGGCCCAGCTCCAATCGACTCTCGGGGTGGGGTGGCTCAGGGACTGCACTGTGGAGGAAACAGCCACGCCCCGGACGCAGGGGGAAGTCACACGCCCTGGGAGGTGCAGAGGGAAACTGGACCCTGACGCCTGGGGCAATGAGTACCTGGCTGCGGAACTGTGGACAACTGAGGGCACTCGCAGAGCAGGGCGGGAACACATCCAGCAATGGCGCCGGTTCGGTGGGGCCGGTCGCTGGCACGGCAGTGCGCCTGCGCAGCTTGGCGTCGGAACTACAATGACCAGAGTCCTCAGCGCCTGAGCTTTTTCCTTTTCTTTGCATTTATGAGGGAATTGGCTGTGTTTGTTGTTGACTTGGGTGCCCTGAAAATTTAGATTGAATAAATTTGCCCTGAGAGGCTACAACTATGGGTCAAGCTCTAGCGTCACAAAGAAGAATGACACAACCCTTGCCTCGGAACATTTCCCTGTGACTAAAGAAATAAAGCCATTGAGAGGACACGTAGGGCTCCTGTGGCTTAGTTGAAACCCCAGACGCCTGCAGGTGGGTGTCCAGGCCCTTGTCTTTCACTCAAGTTCTTGACTGAAAAAATCGGTAATGCCTTCATTATAGTTTCTGGGTCTTTGAACCAGAGCTTCTTTCTTGGTTCAACTAAGTAATTTTAATATACAAAGTAATTAGTTTATTGTATCATACAACTAATAATGCCAATAATATATAATGTTATTGATGATTATGTAGTATATGTATTACATAGGTATTATATGATTATTTTTAAAAGCATGTTTTCCTTTGTTTCAGGCCATATTCTCCACAAACAATCTGCAAGTACTCTAGGGCAGCTTGCTTCCTTCAACAATGAGACTACTTCCTCTCTAATCCATTCCTACTCCATGTGTCTTGGGTTCTTGTGCTGCTTTGATTGTGTGAGGCCCCTTCAGGATGCGCCTCCTCAAGGTGGAGATTTGCAGGGAAAAAGAAAGCTCAGTGAATCTGAACACAGTGTAAAATGGCTCTTGAGATCTCAAAGAGCCAGTGGATAGATAACTTTGGGGAAAGTGTGACATCACTTTGAACTATCAGAGTGGAAAGAAATGCAAATGGGAAATCAAATTCCTGGAGATAACAAATATGATATACAAAATGAAAAATATACTGGATTGGATTAAGAGCAGATTATTAGACACTACTAAAGAAAAGGTTAGTGAAGTCAAAGACATAGAAATAGAAACTTCCCAAAATAAAACAGCAAGAAAAAAATTGGAGAATGAACAGAACACCAGTGAGTTATGGAAAACTATGAAATAGCCTATGTGAAATTAGAATTCTGGAAGGAGAATAGAGAGAGAGTGAGGAAGTAGAAAAATACTTGAGGAAATAATAGCCAAAATTTTCAAAATTTGACGAAAATTATAAATCCACAGATCAAAGAAGCTCAATGAAATTTTAAAAAAGACATTGAGAAAACCAGACCAAGGCATGTTATAATCAAACTGCTGCAAAACTAATAAATAGAAATCTTAAAAACAGGAACAAAGATAATGTACCAGGTGGGAAAAATGTTTACAGTTGTAATACAAATAAATAATATAATAATAATAATACAAGAATAAACCATTTCACATACAACTGTAAATCTACTTTTTCCCACCCCTGTATATACTGGGAAACAAAGACAATTACTTCTTGTAGAAAAGAAGTAAGAAGACAATGGAACAACAGTTTTAAATTACTGAAAGAAACCCACCAGCCCACAAATTTATACCCATCAAAATATTTTTATGAATGGAGGTGAACTGGTAGTGGAATAAGATGAAGTAAACACACTTCTGCCTAAACTTGCCAAGTACAGCTAACCCCCCTCAATATTATATATAAAGCAAATATAAGAAGACTCAGAAAGAGAAGGCAGTCCAAGTAGCAACCTTGCAACCTGAGAAAAATTACAGTGGTGAATTGCCTAGGTTTTCTTTTTCCTCATATACCCCAGCCTGGGTACTGGAGAAGCTGACAACCCAAAATGTCAATGGGTGCCAATTTTTTAAAAGCCCCAAGAAAAGCCTGCTCTCTCCAGCCAAGGGGCCAAGAAAAAAGCAGTCTAGCATAACAGAAAACTTGAAACTAATCATTCTACTCCAGGCAAACACTACAGAAAAAAACTGGTCCCACCTCATCATCAGCAAAGGCTGACAGGGGAACTTAGATTTCTACCCTTACCTAATGATCTGTCCCTCTGTCATTGTATAAGTGGTGTCAGAGAAGGCTGTGTGGGGAGCTGGGACTTTCATTTATACCTTGTACTGTTAAGCCTCCCTGCCCCACACAATGTCACTGATGGCCATGTAGAAGTAATAGAATGCCTCTACCCTCCAGACAAAGTGTTGTCAGTGGTAGTGGCCTAGTAGGGAGCCTGAAATCCCACTCCTTCCCAGCAGTAACAAGAAAATTCCTTCCCCAGAGCTGTCAATAGAGGCTGAGAAACTTGAACTTTCATCCCCACTGAACAATAACCAGGTGGTGGTGACTTTCATTCTCTCACCAGGTGGTGTCAGAAAAAGCCTGCTAAAATATAAGATTTAAATAAAAACCCAGAGTACCATATCATAATACTCAAAGTGCCCCTAAATTTGGCACAAGACATAAATCTGCAAATTCAAGAAATAAAGAAAATGCCAAGCAGAATAAACACAAAGAGATCCAGTTTAAGAGAGAAAATAAAACTCTGGAGGATGAAAGAAAGACTCTTGGGAGCAGAAAAGAGGACACTATACCAGTAGTAGAAAAACAATTCGAATGACAATGGGTTTCTTATTAGAAATTGTGGAGACTAGAAGGAAGTGGAACATTTTTTATTTTTTCAAGTGTTGAAAGTAACTGTCAACCCAGACTATGAGTTTAATCAGTAACAATGCAGCAAAAATTCTTCCCATCATAGTTCCTCACTTGTGCTGCAATTTAAAGATATGTTGGAACAAGAAAATACATTATTTTATATAAACTGTGCTAAAATTTTTCCTAGAGATGAGCCAATAACTATGTGCTAACATTTAATAATTTAAAACAGGAAAACTGGAAGAAAAGCTAAAAGTGAAAAAACAAGAAAACATGGGATAAAATAGATGATCTAGTAAAAGAACAATCCCCAGTATGCAGTGTATAGTCAAGCAAGTGCCTTCTGGTTGCAATGGTGACAGATGGGTCTTTATTTGAAGATATACAGAAGCTGAGACAGTGCATGAAGAGGCTTATTGGGCCAGAGCTGGATCAAAATATCTATAATCAAGAAAACCCTGGACACTCACAGCAGAGATGAGCTGGTGTCCCAGGACTGGTACTAGCTTTTCAGGGTGGAATGTGTCAGGGGATGGGGATGCATTGTTTTTTGGATTCTGCAAAAAAATCTATACTTTTTATGCCAGACAAATCAATTGCATGTACTCAAAAGTCAAAGCTTTCTCCATCCCAGGTTTGTAGTTGATTGAAAACTTCCATACTACCTCAAGAGTAAGTGTCCAAACAATAATGAATTACCAGATTCCATTTTCAGAATATTTGTCAGAGTTGTTGGGTAGTGGTGTCATCCCAACCCAAGCATATCTTCAGGGCAGAATATTTCTCACAATGAGAGCTGTAGAAAGGTGACCTTGTCATCATCTTTATGTTCTACCAAAATGGAATCTGTGACCCTTTAAAATAGGTGGTTCTATATTATGATAATAATATCATATTTTTCAAATCAAAGGTACATCTTAAAGTGTTACAAGTTTAAGACTTTATAGTCTTGAAATTGTTTATACCTGATTATTACCAATATTTTAAAAGGTAATCTTATAGAAATTGTCCTTTGCTTTTTATGTTCTAACACAATTCACTGAAAAAAATGACAAGACAATCCTCAGCCCCTGTTATTTACTTTTGTTAATGACATGTATACCATGTCCTGCTCCTTTTTATGTACTACTGAAATACTTCCAAGTCTTTTGTATAGCACTATGATTCCAGGAGTAAGGTACTAGGAGAAAATTATTTTAAAAGAAAGATCTTTTAGATCTTAGAACTGGGATTGGAATTTAAAAATTATGTTTATATATATATTGTTTATGTATATACATTGTTGCCTTTAACAAGACTGTAATAAAAATAGGTTCTAAGGACTCCATATTTTTTGTAGGAAGTAAGAATGAGGTTATTTTAAGTTATATCAGTTCTTGGCCTAATATAACTTGAAATTGCCTTTAGGCATAATTTAACAACAAAAAAAATCTTGTGTGTGCTGGGCATTACCATGATGTTCAGTTATTGATTAAATATGTTCTAAGACCTTAAAGGAAGCAATAGTGAGGATGATTTTAAGTGAATATGTTACCTTTTTAAAGAGTACACGTGTTATGAACAATTCATAAGTAGAATAGTTCTCATTGATATTCAAATGTGGCTTTATGCAAGTTTTACAAACTTGTATGCATTGAGATTTTGTTTTACATGAAGTAGCACTAGGAAAATCTTTTAGTGCTTTGCCTCTTCTTTATTTTCCCCAAGGTAGCCATTATTTCTTATTGAAATAATGACTTATTGAGAACTATTTGAGATGTATACTGCTATTCTAAGTAAGTGGTTCTAACATCCTTTGTTTCTGGCATAAGGTATATAACAGTGTTAAGTGTCTTGATGTATAAATGATAATATGTGGCTTCTTTTAAGATATGTTTTTTAATGATCTCCTATAACCATTAAAATATTGTGAAAAGTAGACAGTTTCTTATGCAGCTATAGTACCTGCTGTGAATTGATTTCATTTTAATCCATTGACAATGTTTATTTCCTTGTGTTTTGGAGAAGATCATTTTGAGGGGATAGTTTATTGTGTTAGCAAGACTGAGTACTAAAGAGATTGCTACAGTTCAAAGGGGAAAGGTACACTTTGTGTGAAGAAACACTTCCTGACAAGTACATATCCATTTTACCATTGCTAAACCTATAATTTAAAAAATTTTAGGTGCCTTATGCTTTTGAAGGACAAAGAGTACTTTTTTATATAAAGTGGTGTCTTGTGTGTTTTGAAATGTTATTTTTTGAATTTCATCTTTAGCTGATAAGTTTTCAAAGATCCTGATTTTGAATGTTCAGTACGCTTGAGGTATTTTTGAAAAGGATATTTTTTCCTAGGTAATGACCAAAATGTCAATGTTTACTTTATTGTGTAAGGTTATGAATATTTTTATA